TAAAACAACACAGAAAGGTAACACCACACGTGAAACATCATGGAGTGGTCTCTAAAACAACACAGACAGGTAACACCACATGTGAAACATCATGAAGTGGTCTCTAAAACAACACAGACAGGTAACACCACACGTGAAACATCATGGAGTGGTCTATAAAACAACACAGACAGGTAACACCACACGTGAAACATCATGAAGTGGTCTATAAAACAACACAGACAGGTAACACCACACGTGAAACATCATGAAGTGGTCTATAAAACAACACAGAAAGGTAACACCACACGTGAAACATCATGGAGTGGTCTCTAAAACAACACAGACAGGTAACACCACACATGAAACATCATGGAGTGGTCTATAAAACAACACAGACAGGTAACACCACACGTGAAACATCATGGAGTGGTCTATAAAACAACACAGACAGGTAACACCACATGTGAAACATCATGAAGTGGTCTATAAAACAACACAGACAGGTAACACCACACGTGAAACATCATGAAGTGGTCTATAAAACAACACAGACAGGTAACACCACACGTGAAACATCATGAAGTGGTCTATAAAACAACACAGACAGGTAACACCACACGTGAAACATCATGGAGTGGTCTATAAAACAACACAGACAAGTAACACCACACGTGAAACATCATGAAGTGGTCTATAAAACAACACAGACAGGTAACACCACACGTGAAACATCATGAAGTGGTCTATAAAACAACACAGAACGGTAACACCACACGTGAAACATCATGGAGTGGTCTATAAAACAACACAGACAGGTAACACCACACGTGAAACATCATGAAGTGGTCTATCAAACAACACAGAAAGGTAACACCACACATGAAACATCATGGAGTGGTCTATCAGACAACACAGACAGGTAACACCACACGTGAAACATCATGGAGTGGTCTATCAAACAACACAGAAAGGTAACACCACACATGAAACATCATGAAGTGGTCTATAAAACAACACAGACAGGTAACACCACACGTGAAACATCATGAAGTGGTCTATAAAACAACACAGAACGGTAACACCACACGTGAAACATCATGGAGTGGTCTATAAAACAACACAGACAGGTAACACCACACGTGAAACATCATGAAGTGGTCTATCAAACAACACAGAAAGGTAACACCACACATGAAACATCATGGAGTGGTCTCTAAAACAACACAGACAGGTAACACCACACGTGAAACATCATGGAATGGTCTCTAAAATAACACAGACAGGTAACACCACACATGAAACATCATGGAGTGGTCTATAAAACAACACAGACAGGTAACACCACACGTGAAACATCATGAAGTGGTCTATAAAACAACACAGACAGGTAACACCACACGTGAAACATCATGGAGTGGTCTATAAAACAACACAGACAGGTAACACCACACATGAAACATCATGGAATGGTCTATAAAACAACACAGACAGGTAACACCACACATGAAACATCATGGAGTGGTCTATAAAACAACACAGAAAGGTAACACCACACATGAAACATCATGGAGTGGTCTATAAAACAACACAGACAGGTAACACCACACATGAAACATCATGGAGTGGTCTATAAAACAACACAGACAGGTAACACCACACGTGAAACATCATGGAGTGGTCTATAAAACAACACAGACAGGTAACACCACACATGAAACATCATGGAGTGGTCTATAAAACAACACAGACAGGTAACACCACACATGAAACATCATGGAGTGGTCTATAAAACAACACAAACAGGTAACACCACACGTGAAACATCATGGAGTGGTCTATAAAACAACACAGACAGGTAACACCACACATGAAACATCATGGAGTGGTCTATAAGAGCAGTTCTAAAATGTTGTCTGCTACCAACTGTATAACTGCAAAGTCAGATGACAACTGACTGCAGCATAAGGGAACAATGTCAGATGACTGGAAACAGGAAACTTGCAGTTGGCTGCAGTGGCTGTATTCAGTGTGTCCCAGAGCACAATCCCTCCAGGAAATGATCACAGCATGATAAGAATAACACTGACCGGACTGACCTGTATAGCTTCATCGTTTGCAAGAACTGTGTTCAACAGTGTCACCAACAACATCAATTCCAGGATTGGGAAGGATATATGTTCAGTCACTGCTGTTTGAAGCAGGTCTAAGGTGCAGGTGTTGTTTCCATGCAGGAAAAACTGCTGGTCAGTGGTGACAAGCAAGCACTGTATTGCCACTTTTTTGTTTTATGTGTTTTTGTGCAAAGCAATTTGGTAAGAAAAAATATACTGAAGAAGTTTGATATCTATCTGTACATTGCAATCTATGAGTAATGTTTTTCACACCCAAAAATACCATGGTACAAAGATGGTGGTTGTCTCATGTCTTGTACTCGATGTTTCAGGTTTCAAGTGTGTTGTCAACATGCATTTGAAAGTCATTCGATTGATTTGATGTCATTTGACATTGTTGCATTTCATAAATTAAACGACCGCCTCCGTGGTGTTGTGGTTAGAGCGTCTGCCACATTATACCAAAAGACGTTAAAATATGGTATTTGTGGGTCCCTGTCTGGCGCTCGGCATTAATGGGTACAACAAGGACTGGTCAGCTCGGAGTCAGTATAATGTGTCTGAGTGGGGTATTCATGCTTCACTGCGGCATGGTATCTCAGTGGGCTAGCACTAGTATAAAACCAGCTTCTGTCTGGGCTAGTACAAGCAGCCGCACATACACATACACACGCATGTATGTCATCATATGAGCAAAATATTCTCAAGCACGACGTTAAACCCAATTTCACCTCACCTCATAAAATTAAACTGTTCCTAAAATGTTTTTTGTAAACAAAGACCAATGCATATCATTTTCTTATTCATACTCTCTACTTTCTACAAACAATGAGCCTCGCCTTGATCTCGACCCCAAGCCAGCTGACACAGTGAAAACATCAATACCTGACAGTAGAAAGCCAGCAGTAAGAACAGAAGGGATTGTCTCTCATTATTGAACACACCTTCAGTATAACAGTTAGAATTCCTTCAAATAATTACATCTACTATGTTATAGCAAAAAATACCACAGTTTGGCAGTTATCACACTGAAACATGTTTAGGCTTCCAATGAATGCTGTTCTTCACTGTCAATAACTGAAAAGTCAACTGGAACATGGAAAAAACATCACTTCATTCCTCAATGTTCAAAGATAGACAAAGAATTTTTTTTGACCACTGGTCAATGAGAGCTTGCAAAGTCCATCCATTGAATTGTCCATCCAGGACATGAATGGAGAAGGAGTGGGGTCAAAACTTGGTCCCAATACTGTATGGTAGTAAGATTACCCTATTATTTGATGTCCCCTCTCCTGCGTCATACCCATACACTGCCATCAACAAAGCACAATGTGAAGCCGACTTGTAACTGAAGACATTCCTGTTCCACTTCCCTGTTTGTTTAATCTGCCTGCTTTGTTGAATCTGACATGTCTGTAGACCCATTATTAATGTTGAGCATGATGAAACATCTCATGAGAGAGGTCCCATGTTTGGTTGTCTAGTTCAGATACCTGCAGTTAATTCCTGATGGTCTGTGCTGACATTATGCCTCCGAACAACTGTCTGCTAGTGGAGGTTGCAGTCACAAATCTGATGCCAAGATGATGTAACCAGATTTGTATGTCATCTTGGTGTGACATCATACACGGTGCCCCAAGGCTTAAGCGATCTGAAATTGTGCCTTTCTGTTGCACATGGGTCCTCAGACTGTGTATTATTTGATGACTACAGCCCTAGGCTCATGCAACTGCTGCACAGGATTGTCCAGCACTGAACATACCCAGGGCAAATTCATGTTGCTGATTTGTGAGTTGTGGCATACTTGTTGCTGATTAAACTTCAACAGCGGTGCATTTTCTGTTTAGCAATGTCTGCTTACCAATGTATGTGTGACTGTTGAGGTTATTGTTGTTGTGATGTGTGATTTTTCTAAAAAAAATTGGTTGACAAGACCATGTTCAAACTTCATTGCTGTGTGTAAGTCACAAGACAGAAACTAAAAATAATTATCCCTTCACAATTATTACCAATCATGAGGGTGTCAAGTTTCTAATTCTGTTAAGCATATGTGGTTTGAAGAAGAAATCCTGTAATCTGAGAGTTTTCATTAAAAGTGTTGTAGGCATTGAACCTTCATCTGCAAACGTCTGCTCTGAGTGTCGATTTACTCCACCCAGTCCTCCCTATTCACGACACTGCTGATGGAGCTATGGGTGTTCACACGTTTGGGATACATTGGGATTCACTTTTAGATGCTTGGAATAATTCATCAGCAGAATTGTCTTGAAAAATATGATCTAAACTCTCTTCTTAGAAGAAAAAACTTCCATACCTAATTGTTATCCCAAATATAACATATGTTACATTACACAACTTTCTAAAAATGGCATTGTGTATTCATAGCTTTCGGCTGTGTGAGTCGTGCCTATTTACACTTGTCAGAGGTTTACACAAACCTAGACAACCAGTCGTCTGACTTCCATTTTCGTGGCTGGGTGAGTTAGATAGCTGACTTTTGCAAGTGTGGGTTCGAATCCCGAAAGCGACTCAACCCATCAAAGGTACTAAAATCTGTGTAACAAGAGTAAATTGAAAGGAAAAAGTTTCAGAAGTAAAGCAAGGATGTGGAACAACCTCAAGTCAATACCCATTCAGGTAAAAAGTCTCTCAAATTTGATTGTTTGACCACCAAACCTGCTTGTCTCTTTCTTGAGGAAGGAAAAGTGTCTGTGCTCAGTCGTTCTTTGGCTTCCATTGTTGCTATTTACATCTGCTATCCAGGTATGGAAGAAAACACTGAATGTCCTTGAAGATATATCTGCTTTACGAGAAACAGCGACATGGGTTTTTGGAGCACCCAAGCATAGCAGAGATGACCTTATCAAATCTTTCCACATTAACCGTCTGGAAATGAGAGCTATTTACCTTGCGATCAAGGCATGGAGTCATCTTTTATACCTCTCATCAGTGCAGGTGGCGACGGACAGCACCTCAGTTGTAGCATACATACAGATGCAAGGGGATGGAAGGCTGAAGAATTTACAGAAGGAGACCAGACTTTTGTTAGGATTGGCAGACTTGATCAGCTGCAGATTGGAAAGCCTGTAACATACCAGGAAAATTCAACATCAACCAGGGACACTCCTAATCTTGACCTATTTGACACTTGTCTAAACAACAACCTGTCAGTTTACATCAGTCAAGTACAGGACCCACTTAGCAATGAGCTGATGTTCACGTAAACATTCCCCCAGACTTTGACCAAGTATTGAAAAAGACAGGGGACATCATCCTTACAGCTCCTGTTTGGGTGAACAGACCATGGTAGTCAATGATGTGGAAGCACCTTTCAAGCTAACAGAGCATCAGAATCTACAGTACCGGCCAAGAACAGACAACTCTTACAGCAGTCTCCACCTACAGGTCTGCAACCTAATCTTGAACCAGATGCAAGTATCAGATTTCTCCAAATCTGCCTCTGCAGCAGTAACACACAATTATAAACCTCCTCATCAGCCACACACAATTCAAAACCCAACATGTTCTGTCGGTGGTATGGAGAGAGACAACTAGGAGAAGTGTTGTGGATTTCTTGCTCCATTTCAGACAAGAAATGCAGGTCTATCATGGTACTGTTGAAGGATACAGTTCAGCCTTAGGCACAATGCTTTTTAGCATGATGGTCCATCCACAGGCACTCACCCAGTAATTGATGAGCTGATGAAATCTTTCTGAGGATATGAAGGTACCACATACCTTTCAATCTCTCCATTGTGTTGTTGGCCCTTATAGAACCAGTCTATGAGCTGCTTACAACAGATACACTTTTCCAGCATTGTCACTGGGCCAGAGTACTGAATGTTCATACTATTCAGGTCACTGGTTACCAGCTGGGCATATGACATCTGGCTTGATCAACGGTTTGGCAGGACTGATGCCAGCTGAAGTGTCGGCAAAGCTGAAGATGACACTAGAGAACTGAAAGTGATGTCAAAGAATGAAGTGATGTCATCCGAATCTGTGGTCATCAACACAGAAAGGATAAGTTCACTCCTGTAAGTGATCCCAACACCAGATATGACATCTCTACTAGACGTGACATCATTCAGACTGGAAATGACATCAATAAATACAACAGGGTTTTCTGTGTAAAATATCAGGTATTGTGCACTACTTGGCCACTTTTTTATATGTCCATAATCTGAGCTGTCAATTATCTGGACGGTGCTAGGTAACAGATACCTCCTTCACTCTGGTTCTGACTGTGGTGTAATAGCACAGAGATATTCTAAAGATGTATTATGACAATAGGTATCATTGTGTGTAATTCTCAGAATGCTACAGGTTTCACATCATACACTTATATACATCTGATAGAAATTAACGACAGCAATAAAGCGTATGCATGAAATGGATTTACAACAACAACAATGGATATTGGTGATTAATGTAGTAGTGAGTGAGTTGGGTTTTAAGCCGCTTTTAGCAATATTCCAGCAATATCATGGCGGACACCAGGAATGGGCTTCACACATTGTACCCATGTGGAGAATCGAACCCGGGTCTTCGGCGTGACGGGCAAACGCTTTAACCACCGCACCGGATTAATGTAGTTAAAACAAGAGGAAGCCATATATTTGTGATGGGGTACAAAATATACATAGCTGATAAGATTAATTAGAGATGACAGCTGAAGTGCTTGTTTGTTTTATCAATTCACTGAAAGCAGATGGGATGACATATCCTTGATCTATGTTGATTGAGGGCTTGTGTCAACAAAACTTTATAAGAAACATGCACTGATGGCAGTTGGTAAAATATTCAAGCTAATATATAATACAAATGCTTCAAATTTATACCATGTATACAAGATTTCAACAAACTGAAACACATTCCTTCCACGCAGCACGTTAAAGTTAACTATGTTGTAACATGACAGGATATGTTTATGTATGGGACAGTTTGATGTGCCAGTGTTTCCAGCTACCAGATACCCCCTGGGCATTTATAATAACAAGATGGGATAATAACAGGAGTTACTATGTCAACATGATATTTTCCTTGTTACATGCTCTTGATAATGTCTATGAGTGTGTTGTGTGAATCCTGTTGTTCACAACAGTATTTCACCAAATGTGTGCCCTCTTCACAAGAAAATATAGTAGTTACCCAATAAGTCACAATATATTTAACATTTTTTTACCTCATCTCTGTTCAACTAGTTTGTACCCATAAATCATATATATATTTCAACCTGTACTTCTTGTCCTATTTTTCCCCTTCTCCATTCAGTCAGTTTAACCCAAAGAATCCATAATACAAGAAGCAATAGGTCTGACGCAAATGTCATAAAAACAGTCAATATTGTCTTTCATTTTACATACAATCACTGTGAAATTAGACAGTGTATTTGGTGATGAGAAATGTGATCAGGTGATCATACACATATGTGTTTTCATTTTACAGGGAAATATGGGGTGGTATCTGTTTGTTGTGCAGCCATTTTTGAAATTTGGGTTATATTCAGAATGAGAATGAGAAAAAATGTGATCATTGTGAAAGCTAGATGTAGCGATGACAGTGATGGAAGTGATGGACATGAAGCTCATCATCAATCATCATCATCATACATGTCGGAAACTCATGGGAATTCTAATACAAAGAAAACATTGGTTAGAAAAACAGTGTACCTGGAACAAACATTTCAATTTGTATTGAAAGGATATTGGCTCATGTCAAATATTCAAAGTAGAATTTTACCACATTAGTATCAACCATTTATTAATCATAATGATAATCACCAAACATATTACATTATATTATAAACATTTTCTTTTATTGTGAACATTACATTCAAATCTCAAGTTTAACCTACCGGTAAGTAACCTAACCCACAGTTGCTGGTACATTTTATGAACTTCCCCGCTCTATTATATACTTAAACGCATGTGTTGCTTTCAAATCGTATCGCAATGCATGCCTATGTTAAGGGATAATCAGACATACATTGGTTGAGATATGTTTACAATGACATATATTTCATTGTTTAAGACTATGACAGTTGTGCAACAAGGATGGCATTAACTTTAATAAAGCTGATCCCACCACGTGGATACAAAACAAGCGTATTTGAGCAGGTATTTTCATCCTTAATGCATGACTTATCCTTCACAATGTAGTAATGGAAACCTAAAGTGGCCACACACCAGTGTTGATGGCTGCAATCATCTGTCGGACAGTAGCATACAGTGCTGACAGTTGTGTCAGCTTTGGTTGAAGATTGGACCAACTGAAAGAGATGGCCTTTATCTCAGATAGCCTTCTGCAGCACACACATTTCTCACATTTAGTAAGGATAAACTGCAATATTTGTGGGATTCCACATTATTAAAAGTGTTTTGATGCCATGTGTCCAGCTAGCGGGTTGCCAAGTAACTAAATGCAATTAGGTACATTGTGTTACAGCTGTGTTGATATTTGGGTTATATCCTGCAAGCTGATGGTGGTTGTGGTAAATGTCACATATCCAGCTCCCTCTCCATAGTGTCTAGTCCCCAGGCCATTCAGATGACGTCATTGCACTACCTCCAATCGATACGGTGCGTGTCGCCTGTCACTTGCTGGCAGATTATTGATCTAACAATCTAATTTGTTTGCTTAAATCACTACAACAACATCCTACACATGTTTTCACATCTGTCTATGTGCAGTCAAACAGTCTCTGCTTCCAAATTTACTGCATCTCACCGAGGAAGATTTATGGTGCTATCTGTCAACTAAGGCAGTAATGGTCATTTGTGTCTGTTTGCAACAGCTGGATGTAACCTTGGCCCTGCAAGATTGCACATGAGGAAACACATCTTTGTTCACATTTAGTCAGCATGGCAGAGTGTGTATATAGTGTGGTTATCTCATAACAGTAATGTAGAGCAAGTGCATACAGTAGTTACATCATGGCAGTAATGTAGAGCAGGTGCATACAGTAGTTACCTCAAGACAGTAATGTAGAGCAAGTGCATACAGTAGTTATCTCATAACAGTAATGTAGAGCAGGTGCATACAGTAGTTACCTCATGGCAGTAATGTAGAGCAGGTGCATACAGTAGTTACCTCATGGCAGTAATGTAGAGCAGGTGCATACAGTAGTTACATCATGGCAGTAATGTAGAGCAAGTGCATACAGTAGTTACCTCAAGGCAGTAATGTAGAGCAGGTGCATACAGTAGTTACCTCATGACAGTAATGTAGAGCAGGTGCATACAGTAGTAACCTCATGACAGTAATGTATAGCAAGTGCATACAGTAGTCACCTCATGGCAGTAATGTAGAGCAGGTGCATACAGTAGTCACCTCATGGCAGTAATGTAGAGCAAGTGCATACAGTAGTTACCTCATAACAGTAATGTAGAGCAGGTGCATACAGTAGTCACCTTATGACAGTAATGTAGAGCAAGTGCATACAGTAGTTACCTCATGGCAGTAATGTAGAGCAAGTGCATACAGTAGTCACCTCATGGCAGTAATGTAGAGCAAGTGCATACAGTAGTTACCTCATAACAGTAATGTACAGCAGGTGCATACAGTAGTCACCTCATGACAGTAATGTAGAGCAGGTGCATACAGTAGTTACCTCATGGCAGTAATGTAGAGCAGGTGCATACAGTAGTTATCTCATGGCAGTAATGTAGAGCAGGTGCATACAGTAGTTACCTCATAACAGTAATGTAGAGCAGGTGCATACAGTAGTTACCTCAAGACAGTAATGTAGAACATGTGCATACATGTTACCTCATAACAGTAATGTAGAGCAGGTACCTACAGTAGTTATCTCATGGCAGTAATGTAGAGCAGGTGCATACAGTAGTTACCTCAAGGCAGTAATGTAGAGCAAGGTGCATACAGTAGTTACCTCATGGCAGTAATGTAGAGCAGGTGCATACAGTAGTTACCTCATGGCAGTAATGTAGAGCAAGTGCATACAGTAGTCACCTCATGGCAGTAATGTAGAGCAGGTGCATACAGTAGTTACCTCATAACAGTAATGTAGAGCAGGTGCATACAGTAGTTACCTCATGGCAGTAATGTAGAGCAAGTGCATACAG